GGAGCCAGGGGGGATGCAGGGATCCAGGGGGGGATGCAGAGATCCAGGGGGGGATGCAGAGATCCAGGGGGGGATGCAAAGACCTTCCTTCCAAAGCAGAGCAGCCCAGCCTTGGAGGACTGCACCCCATGGGCCAATGGCCCACTCCCAGCAGTTTTGGGGTGATTTTTGCCCATTGGAGGGACTCACATGGCAGCAGTTTGGGCAGGACTGCTGCTACTGAGATTGGATCCATGCTGGAGAAGTTTATGGAGAACTGGCTCCCATGGGAGTGACCCCATGGCACAGCAGAGAAACAACTCCTCTGTCAGAGTGAACAGGAGATCTCGAGTGACGAACTGCCCCAAACCCCCTGCCCTGTTGGTGCGAAGGAAGGAGAAGCTGAGGGGGGAAAAAGGTGTTTTGAAGGCTTATTTCACTTCTCATTATCCTCCTCTGACTCTGTTAATAATAAATCTACTTTAGATCTTTAAATTTGAACCTGCCTTGCCCTTAGAGCCTTGTTTCCCAGTGCTCATCTCAATTCATGAGTCCTGTGTTATATTTTTCCCTCTCCCCTGCCCAGCTGAGAACAAGAGAGGGTGAGAGAACAGCTTTTGTGGGTTCCTGGCATATGGCCAGTGCCAAACCACAAGATCATCTCCCTAACCTGGTGGCATTATGAAAAAAAAAAAAAGGAAACATGTAGCTACAATGTACTGAAAGACAGAAAGAAACTATCCTTATATTTTGATAATATTTCTTTTTAGAGATTTTGTGTGGCTTGTATTTTGCACAAGGGGATAGATTTGTCTATATAAATATATTAATTATATATTATATATAAATATTTATATATTTAAATAAAATATATTTATATAAACATATAATACATAAATATATAAACATCACATACATAAACATATTACTCATGTATGTTTATATACTCATGTATATATAAGCCCTTATTGAGAATTATGTTCTTTAAGAAATCCCACATGACACTTTTCTCACTGAGAACTCTTCTAGGTAAAGTTGCCCTAGTGAACCCTGCAGACATTAATGTTCATTCATGTTCATGTGCATGAGTGTGCAGAGCCATGGTCAGGTTTTAAAATGTTCCTATTTATCCTGTTTCAAACCCAATAATTCCAGACAAAAGAGATTAACAGACACATTGAAGTCCCAATCAATGCACCTATATGAAGTGTCTTATAAACAGGAGCATGCTTAAGTTACACTTAGAGGGGTGCATTCCAAAATACTCTTGGATATGAGAACATGCCTTATAAATTTCTTTATAAGAGATGGATGAGGAAAAGTTATTTCATCTCTGTACCTGATATTGGGAAGCACTGACAGCTGAGCTGGGTGGAAGCTGGTTGCTGATGTGCCTAAAAGCTCTGTTAAATATGGCACTCACAAGGGAAAGCCAAGCAAAACATGCCTCCCTATTAGATTAATAAGAAGTGCATATAACTATAAATCTTGTGAAGTTATACATATCTGTCTTCTATTTGGAAAATGAGTCTCTGATTAAAGACAGGGGCAGGACCCTGTAGGAATCCAGATCCATGACTGGATCAAGTGGAAGCCCCAAATAATCCAGAATTTTTAAGAGCATGTCGTTGTCATCATTACACACACCCACATCTGCACACACTGACTTATACTTTTTGGGGGGCTTTTTGGTAATTGTAACTAAAATAAGAGTCTTTTAAAAGGAAAAAAAATAAGTCTTACTGAAACCTGCAAGTTAACTTTTCCATCTTGAAAGTATTATCCTCCTTTTTTTTCTTCTTAGTCATGATTTCTCCCTCCTCAGACTTGTCTTAGCCACTCTTTCCCTCCTGCTTTCTTTCTGTCTTGGAGATGAATGGGTTTCAGGAATGAACTTCAGAGCAGTCTGAAAGAAAAAAAAAATCCCTTCCAGATTGGCTATTTTTCGATTAAATCCAACAAATGCATATTGCAGGCAGTTCAGCAAACTGGCCATAAAAGAGCCAGTCTTTCATCTCTGTGCTACCTTTCCAGCTGCACTTTCAGCCAGATCAGAAGCAGTTGGCAGACTTCAGTCAGCACCCCTTTCCTGAGGAGCCAGGACTTTCTGCAGCACAAATTCACCTTTGTTCAAGATGAATATCCAAAGGTGTCCTTACAAACACACCACTTTTCCCCATTCTTCCATCACTTAGTTGTTTCTGCTGATATTCTGATTTTTCCCTTAAGGGCATATTAATTTTCTTCTTGTTTAAATCTTCTCTTGAACAGAACAGAGTCCACCATCCTCTGGTTTCATGGTCAGTGGTGGGATTCCTGCTCCTTTTCTCTCTGCACCTTTCACTTTACAGCACTTTTTGTCCCCCACAGCACGTTCTTTTGAATATCCCAACTCGGGCTGCAAAAATACTTTGCCTTAAAAAAAACCCCTTTTCTCTTATCCATTCTCCACCCCTGCCTCCCTTCCACCCAATCAGGAGAATATTAAAAGTAACCATTTTTTCCTCAAACCCACTCAGCATTTCTGCCCAAGTTAGACAAAGAATATAAGTTTTCTATTCCCATTTTAAAGTTTTCCCTTTAAACTAGTGTTTCAGAACCTTTTTCCTTTGCCTGTTCTAGAGATACAATTTCTCTTATGTTTAATTGTCCTCTGTCCTAAAGTTCAGTGTAAGATCAAATATTCAAAGGTTCAGCATAAGATCAAATATTCACTTTAAGTGCCATATCTATCCAAAGGTACCAAGTAGCTCCCAGTTCTCCCAGATTTACATCACACTAACAGAGAAAATCTGGACTCAAAGCCCCAGAGAGATGTCAGTGCCACAGATGTCATTGTTGTTTGCATGTACTACAGTGCCCTGATAAAAACCACGTGGCTCTGACTTACACAGTGACCTCAGAGCCAGCTTTTTCCTCCCCAGACACATAAAATACACATAAGGAGAAATTAAGGGCATGGCTAACATAGAGGTGAGCTGAACAGCAGCAGCTTCAGGCGGAGCAGTTTCTGTCTGCTCCACTTGTGTAGGAGATCTAGGAGTGGCCAAGCGGAAGACAGAAAGCACCAACTGCACCACAGCCCAGCCAGAAGCTCAGGAGTGCCAGACTGCCATGCAGATTTTTGCTTGTTTGTTTAGAAATTAAACCCAACAGAGCAATAAATACTCAGCTTGGTACACCTCAGATCAAATCCTTCACTGTCCTCCGCATGTATCATTTCAGGGCTGCTCCCATCACCTTTAGAATAGCAGCTTGTGTAATGATTACAGTAAGGAATGAGGAGCTGAGAGTCCTAGGTTGTGTCTTAGCTCTGTTTGAAATTCCTCCACCAAAAGGGAAATGCAGGAGTTTGGAGAGTTGGCTGGCAGGCGCTGCACTGACTCCTGGAGCAGGCTGTGATTTGCCCTAGCTGGTGTGACCAAGGCTCCACTGCTCCTGCCCCACAAGCCCTGCTCTGCTTGCTTTCCCAGGAAGAAGAATGCCTGTGCTTCTTTGCTTAAACCTGCTCGTTTGAGAAAAGGTACAGGCTGGCTGCTCTCCTGGAGGAATGAGACCACGAGCTGCTGAGAGGAGAGGGGTCAGTCTGTGCTTCCAGCTCATGCCTGCAGTGTTTGTCAGGATGAGGAACAGCATGATACATCCTGCAGGGAGCTGCCTTTTCATCATGGAACTCAAGCAGGCTGACAGAGCCCTTCTGAGTGAGACCTTTACACAGGTACTCACCAGCCATTAATAATGGACTAAATTGAATTGAGCATTGGCTGGTGTACTGCTACTAGTTTCACCCTCCCAACACTTTCCAAAAGCTAGAGTTTATAGAAACCCTCTTCATCTGACTCATGATTGCTTCAGATCAATCCCAACAGCCTTTACAATATTTGAATGCTCTGTAATTTCATTAATCTGGCTTTTTTCACAGATGTTTTTGCTGTGTTCTGATGATATTAGAGAAAATCATACAACCTTGCACTGGGCTTTTTGGTGATGACCATCCAGCAAGTAAAATAACAAAAACAAAACCAAAAAATAGAAGTCAAGAGACTGTGATTGCTGCTTTTAAAAGTTTTTCTATACCCAGGATGTCAGCCACATAACTTCTCCCCCTTTTAATGGCCTTATGTAACCAAAGTCCTTTTCACATGTTTGAGGTAGCACTCACAGCACTGTAATGTATTTGTGGGACTGCTTGTCCACACAACAAACATTCCCTAAAATGTGCTCAGGGGTCTGAATCACAAAAGGGAATGGTTTATTTTATGATCCTTTTTGTGGCTGCTGCCTCCAGTTGTCCTTCGAACATCTCTGCAGAGCTGCCTCAGTCACCAATTTGCAGTGAAGGAAATCCAGGCTTGGTACAACTTCACCTCAGTGCAAAGCACAGACTGTGAGCAGCTGCCTCGTGGAGAGATGAGACAACACCACAGCAAGTGTGGGAAGAAGGGCAGCGTGGACCTCTGCCTGAGAAATCACTGCTCATCGTGGATTGAGTCATTTGTGTTTATCAGCCACAGCCCCAAAGGTCTAAGTTGGCATCCAACACATTTTTACACAGGTCCAGAGGTCTTTGGGAGACTATAAATAGGAATTGGAACTATGGTAAAGCCCCTTTCCTTTGAGGTTTACTGTAAATAAATATTCAGGTGAAAGCTTTTAAAAAAGGCACGGTGTTTTGGATTTGTGACAAGAGAGATAATTTAAATAAAGTGAGTCTTTTGAAACCACATTATCTTGTTCTCTGGGTTAGGGCCATGCAAAACATGAATTGGTCACTGAATAATGGTAGATTTGCTGGAATTTGCTTTTTTTGGATAGGTGCCCAAGTAGTCTAAATCATGTACACACATGCTGACATCACTGGATGTGAGATTACAGAAATGGAGACTTAGATCTGCCTTTTTAGTAATTAAAATTTCTATTGTATTAGGTGTCCTTATTAGGAGTCCCTGATCCCTTTTAATTCCCATTGTTAGGGTCCCTGTTGCCTATTTTTAATATTCCTGCAATGTAAATACATTTTCACATTGCTTTAAGGACCTTATGTGAATAATACCCAAATAAACAGCAAACAGTGAACCGTATAATTTCTGGATATTCCACATGCAAGTAGTGTGAATTCAGGTCATGGAGAACAGTGAATTTATGGGGATGCTACACTGGCTTATAAGACCAATTAAAGAAAAAGGTAGAGTAGATTGCTTTAGCTAGTTTGCAAAGAAAGCTTTGAATATTTCATTTACATTTTGTTTACCAGCAGCTCCAAGTGAGTTTCAGGCAGATGTGTGTCCTCAGGAGCTGGGCCACCCCGTTTGCATTTCAGCACTGCCATGCTGCTGTGGTGGCACAAGCAGAAGGAAGAGAATTCTGCCATTGCTGTGGAAGGGCAGAATTCAGTGTTGTGAGCAGAGGGCTGGCCCTGTCCCCTGCCCCACTGCAGAGGGGCACCTGCACCCCTGGGTGAGGGCACCAGCAAGGGACTGACAGGGTGAATAATGCACGGGGTGCTTGCACATTCTTATCTTGGAAACTGTCCGTGTGTCCCACTGTGCGTGCGTCCCACTGTCCATGCATCAAAGTGTCTGTACGTCCTACTGCCCGTGCATCCCGCTGTCTGTGCACCCACTGTCTGTGCAAACTGTCCATGCGTCCCACTGTCTGTGCAGCCCACTGTCCATGTGTCCAACTGCCTGTGTGTCCCATTTTCTCTGAGTCCAAATATCCGTGGTCCCAACTGTCCATGCGTCTCACTGTCCATGCAAACTGTCTGGGCATAGCACTGTCTGTATGTCTCACTGTCCGTGCGTCCCACTGTCCATGTATCCAACTGTCTGTGAATCCCACTGTCCGTGCAAACTGTGCGCACGTCCCACTGTCCGTGCAAACTGTCCGTGTGTCCCACTGTCCGTGTATCCCACTGTCTGTGCAAACTGTCCGTGCATCCTATTGTCCGTGCAAACTGTGTATCGAACTGTCCGTGTGTCCCACTGTCCGTGCATCCCACTGTCTGTGTATCCCACTGTCCGTGTGTCCCACTGTCTGTGTGTCCCACTGTCCGTGTGTCCCACTGTCTGTGCAATCCCACAGCAAGGCTGCCCTGTGCTCCTCCTTCTCCCGGGACTGAACAATGTTCCTGGCTTCGTGGTAACTACACTGGATGCCACAGTTAATATTTTAATATTATTCTAATATTTTATCAAATTAAGTAATACAATTAATTTTATTAATTAATTTAATATTTTAAATTTCTATATTTCAAGCTGACATAAGTCCAAATTCTCACAATACTGAAGGCAGGATGTTTGGATAGGCAAGAAAGGAGGAGGAGCAAGAACTTTGTATATACTGCAACTGCATATCCAGCTGTACCTAATACTAAGTTCAAATTAAGTTCAAATTAAATATCACTGTTAGCTAACACAAGTGAAGTGTTTCACTGATATTTTCTATTTAAATTCCATTCCTCTCACATTTTGCTTGGCAGATATCTGGAATATCCATCAGACTAACTTGGTTTTGCCCTGCACCAGTCATTATGGTGTTTTCACCAGCAGAAAAACTGCAGTTGCCATAGTAAATCCACCTGGTACTAGCTCTGGGAAAGGCCAGTCCTAGCTTATATTTTACCTTGTAATTGAGAAGTTTTATGTTTACCTTGAGAGATATCCTGAGAAGGGAGTACTGAGATGTTTTTCCCTGCAGTTTTAGAAGCAGGTGCTCTTCTGGGTCTTGGCAGTTCCCAGCAATGTGAGGCAGGCTCAGGGCTTTCTCTTGGCTTCAAGGCAGGACAGAAGCTTTGGCACAATGTGCAGAACACACCTACAAAAAAAAGATGTGACATCATATATTTATCTTGCAGAAAAAAGCTCCATTCTCTACATTAAATAATAATTCCTTAAATCTACCATATTAATGTGAAAATCAATTGTCTTCTCTAGTTTATAGAGTCCCCCAAATATGCTGTATGTATGCCTCAACAATGAGTGCAAAATTTCAGTTACCAAAATACCAATCGAGAATACTAGATGAAAGCAAAGACATTGAGAAAAAAAATCCTGTAATATTTTCTTCTTTTGATCAAATCAAAAGTATTTTGAGGGATGTTATTTTAAATAACATGGGGGAAAAAATGTTACTAAAATCTCCAATATGCAAAACTTTTTTCTGCCCCCAAACAGTTGGATTTCTTTTGGCATTGGCTTCCTTTCCAAAAGAGTTAGAAGCAATACCAAGCAATGTGAGTGCATGTTAAACATATTTTTCCAGGTCTCTGCAGTCACAACATCACCTTGCAAAAGGTTTTGCTGGGGAGGTTTCAACACTGCATGTTTCTGCAACAATTCCAAGCATCTGGATACAGAACATTCCTGGGCAATTCCTAGTCCTTCTATTGGTACAAACTGCAGAGCAGTGTTCCCATAAGGCTTGCAGATGACTCTCACTTTTGTCAGATTTTTCATCCAAGTCCAAAAGAAACTATTGCAGGGTCAGAGAATTTTATTAGTACAGGCTTTAGAAAGCTCAAAATAAAAATGAAAATTTTCTTGTTGAGAGAAATATTTTGTCCGGTATGAAACATATTAATTATTAACTTTGCAGTCCTTTGATTTTTAACTTTTTTTTTTCCTGTGAGCGAGCCAGCAACTCTAGAATCAACCTCCTGAAGGTAAAACTTGCCCTTTCCAAAAGGACTTGAGAGGCAAATCAAGTGTTCCCAGATTGTTCAAGTGACCTAGCAGCAGTATTATTTCCCTTCACCTCAGGCAAAAATGCACACCAAAGCACCTGCATGTGTGCCTTTGCATACCATGCAAATGCTCTGGGGTCAGGTGAGGGCTCTCCACAGGGACAGCAAAGCATTTTCCCCAAGCCCTCCTCTTTGTCTTCCTGCCTCACCTGTACCTCTCTGCTCCCCCCAGAGAGGGAGAGGTGCTGCTGGACCTGGGGTCCTCCTCAGCAACCTGTGTTCTGATCCAATTTAGGAGATACATTTCCACTCTCCTCGAATATTCAAAAACAGGGGGAGGAATCAGCTTCCTGTCACAGAGATTTTTATGTAATAAAAGACTGTCCAGCCTTAGTCACTCCTTGCCCTTCAGCATGGCAGCTCACCATGGAAATGAGAAGTCCCCAGCACAGGTGGCAGCTGTTCCTGTTCCTGCCTCACAAGAGGAAGCTGCCCACTGGTGGAGTCCCTGCTCATCACACAGGGAAAAGCAGAGTCAGGAATAATGCTGCCCCAGAGCTGTCATTAAAGAAGAACAGAGAAGCATGCTGACCCAAGGCCCTTGAGGATGACTGGAAATAAGTGTATTTCTTACACCACCTGTGTCACAGACATCTTTAATGAAAAATCCTTTCCTTAGGATTTTTTCCTCCTGAGAAGCTGAGACACCTCAGGAACAAAATGTAAACAATGATTATCTGCTGCTGTGGAATGCAACAGGTGCCTCTGTGATTGGTCTCCTGTGGTTGTTTTTGATTAATGGTCAATCACAGTCTGCTGGCTCAGATTCTCTGTCCGAGACACAAGCCTTTGTTATTCATTCCTTCTTATTCTATTCTTAGCTAGCCTTCTGATGAAATCCTTTTTTCTATTCTTTTAGTATAGTTTTAATGTAATATATATCATAAAATAATAAGTCAAGCCTTCTGAAACATGGAGTCAGATCCTCATCTCTTCCCTCAACATGAGACCCCTGTGAGCACTGTCACACACCTGCTCACCAAGCTTCAGCAGTGGCTTCCCATGTTGTTAACCAAACTGGAAGTGTCAGAGCTCCAAGAAACATCTCCCAAATTGTGGTAAAGGACAAGACAGTGTCACAGTTTTAAAGCAACAGCACATTCACCTTCCTCCATCTCCTTTTCTCTATTCATCTCCTACCTTTACTCACAACTGTTGTGGAAGCAAGATTGTGCATTAAGCAAATTCTCTTGGCTGTGTACACAGATTTCTCCTTTTTCAGATATCACAGCCAATTAGTCCCTTTTCATTGGCCAGCAGGAGCAGGGAGGTCATTGTTCCCCTGTTGGGCAGCACCTGGAGTGCTGCGTCCAATTTTGGGCCCTCACTTTAGGAAGGACGTTGAGATGTTGGAGCATGTCCAGAGAAGGGCAGCAAGGCTGGAGATGGGTTGGAACACAAGTCCTGTGAGGAGCAGCTCAGCTGTGTAGCCTGGAGAAAAAGGGGCTCAGGGGTGACCCCATCACTCCCCACAGCTCCCTGAAAGGAGGTTGGCCCAGTGAGGGTCGGGCTCTGCTCCCAGACAACCAGCCACAGAACAAGAGCACACAGACTAAAGATGCGCCAGGAAGGTTCAGGTTGGACATCAGGAAGAATTTCTTCACAGAAAGGGAGATTGGGCATTGGGATGGGTGGCCCAGGGAGGTGGTGGAGTCACTGTGCTGGAGATGTCTAAGAAAGGCTGGATGTGAAACTCGGTGCCCTGGTTTAGTTGACAAGGTGGTGTCAGGTCATGGGGTGGACTTGAATTTTAAGGGTCTTTTTCAACCCAGTTAATTCTGTGCTTTTCGGATTTGTATCCCTTACCTATTGCTATGACATCTGATGAGATAATCCAGCAGGCAAACCCGATCCAAGCTCAGGTTTTTCCCTTCCCCCAACACAGGGGCAGAAGCAAATAGCACTGCTTCCATCTCATTCACAAACACAAAAGCCAAACATTTTACATATAGGCTCTGGAACCATAATTTTCTAATGTCAGAGTTCACATGAAATACCTCTTATGTTGTCTCAGCCTGTTTCCTGGCAGAGAGCTGTGATCTCCGAGAACACATAAATGTTTCAGTATTAGTACTAAGAAGCCACATGAGGGAGCATTTGGAGAATTGAAATGCTTTCCTTGTATCATTGTAAATAAGGGAGGGAATCAAACCTGATCCCTCTGGGATATATGGAATTCAGACAAATCTAGATGTTATTATTCATTTCTCCACTCGCACTGGGATGCGGAAATTGTGATTCCCAGTGAAGACAGAGGTTTTTTTTTTTTTTTTTTTTTTGAAAAAGCCCATTAGTGTCTGAAACAGACAATTTCTTACTCTGGCCAAGGTATGCTGTGACTGGTACACCTGAAAGGGAGCACAGATAAATGGGTTTACATTTCAGCTAAATGGAATTATGGGACACTCTGTAGAGGATATTCCAGGCTGAGTGTGACAGCAGCACCAGTTTTCCCAGATTATCAGCAGCCTTGGCTGCCAGGGGCAGAGAGTGGTAATTTCTGCAATATTCTGACTGGGCAAATAGCTCAGCCTACATGCTTCTAAATGATTTTTACTTTTATATCTTAGAGCTTACTAAAAAACCAAAATCCACAGGTGTATAAAGTTAAATTAATCCCACTGTTCTTATAAACTAACTCACAATTTTTTTAATATCTGGGGTTAGCAATAGTGAAAGCAGTCAAAATGGGAAATAAAAACTTGTCCACATGAACTGTAATGAGAAACATGCATAAATTTGTGCTGTATTTTTATATCAGAAAAAGAAATAGTCAGCTGCCACTTGGGCTATCCTTATTGACAGTCAGCTCAGTCAAATAACATCATGTGACTTTACCAAAAACATTTTTGTCAGTAGTGCTAAACAGGTGTTCAATAAATAAAACATTTAGCTCTCTACCTCAAAAGTCAATATTCATAGGACTTGTTGTCAATCAAAGAAACTCGTATTAAAGGCAATTTCGAAATCAATAGGAAAGGACTCCACCAAGATCCTGTTTTTCCCCTCATTATTTATACCTAAAATTGGCTAAAGAACAAGCAACTAATGAACTGCATAAAAATCAGGTTGCAGCTATGACCACACACAGCTGTGAACGTTTGCAACTCCTTTTAAGGGGCACAAGTTCCATTAGTCACTTTCTGCCTAAATTATATAATAACCAACTCCAGGCGTGGCAGAGAGGTGGAAGGGAAACGAAAAAAAAAAAAAGAAAAAAAAGAGGAGCACAAAATTTTAGCTTTTAAGTGGGTTTGCTTGGGGCTGCTGGAGGAGGCTGGGTGTGCTGTTTTGGGGGCAGGGGTGGTGGGTGCCAGCTGAGCCATGCCAGGGGCCCAGTGACCACCTCTGAGGGGCTTGGCTGCCTGCCTGCAGGGTGGCCCTGCAAACCCCCCTGGGAAACTGATCCTCCCTGCAAGTAATCCCTGTTTTTCAAGGGATTAAGCCTAACCCAGATGGCTGCAGGCAGCGGCTGGGGCTCGGTCCCCCCCAGCACAGGGGGATGCTCAGGGGGCTGCAGCTGGGGCAGAGCTCTGCAGGTTCCCTGTGCTGCCAGCCCCAAAATCCTGCCCTGATGAGGCAGCACATTCACCCCTGTCATTGCCACCCTCTCACTGCCTGCTGCTCCCTTTGCACGAAGTCATCTGACCCTTCTCAGCAAGGCAGGGCAGCTCTGGAAGTCTGGTGCTTGCCGATATCCTCATCTCCAGAGAACAATTCTTTCCTGCTCCAGTAAATAGGACTTTAAAGGTAAATGGTATTATAGTGTTAATTTCAAAGTGAATTATTCAAAAAGTGCTCCATATATCAGCAAGCACCATTTTGTGGAACTATATTAATGTTCTTAAATACAGTTCTCCCTTTCTAAAAGCTGTTTTATAGATCCAGGAAATATGTCTGGTATGAAGAAGTGCTTATTGTAAAGGATGTTTCAGCAGTTGTGTCCAATTAATGAGGAAGGCAGGATGTAGTCCTATATAAGAAATAGCACAACAGCAATAATTCCTTGGGGCTTGAGAATCTTCACACTTTCAGATCCTGCACAGTTATCCATTCATTCAAGATACCAGATCAGTTTTGTTTCATATTCTTAACTCATAAGAAAAGAGAAAAAAATAAAAAGAAAAGAAAAAAAGTAAGCTCTCCTTTCAACAAAGGCTCCCTGTAAAGAATTGAGAAGCTGAAAATAAGAAACTATAGCTTTTCAGCAGAGATGCCTCCAAGTAAATGACTCAAAAAGGACCTTGAAGCTTCCAGGATTAGCTGAAACAAGCAGAAAACTCCCAATGCTGACAGCAATGGCCATTCAATAAGGAAAGAACCAGACTGCAAAATTCCATTTTATCCCTGTGATTCAACCATCAGCCTCCTTACTTGGTTTATCAAATTTAAAAGGTGAAAAGAAGACATATGAGGTGCAGAAGGCCCCCTCCTAGATTTCTCCATATTGACATGTTACTGAACACATTTCAGCAAACAAACTGTAGCCTTACTTTAAGGGACAATGTATGTTCTTTGAAACTGTACAGCAATAGGAATCTGAGCAGAAATCTTGGTTTTCTGGATTTTTCCCAGTCAGATGAAAGGGCCAAAACTTCCCATCCCTTATGCCCCACATCCATTACATGCACTCCATGGCACTGAGGATTAAAACCAAATAAATGCAAATATTAAGAGGATTTAAAATGTCTGTGAGGTGGCTGTGTCCCTGTTGTCTTTAGTAAATAATGGCTGAATCTATCTTTATTTGTGTTACCAAATTGCTTAGGGGCTCAGCCAGGCTTGGAATCCTACAGTGAGGGCCAGGGCAGGCTGGGGCTGGAGGTGACAGCAGGCAAGGATTGTTCTCATCCCTGTTGTGCTGAGATAATTGTGGCATGGGGAGATTACACCCAACTGAGCACCAGCAGCAGTTGCTGCCCTTGGGAGCTTGAGGGAGGCGGCAGAAAACTGGAGCTGCTCCCTCTGAGGTTAACAGGGCCATGGCTCACACTGTAAACACCAAAAGGTGCTCCTTAAAAAGCAGCCTGCCCCCTTGAACTCATGATTGACTTCCTGAGCCTCACAAAGCCCTCCCTGCTCTTGACAGAAGAGCTGGTGGCTGTGGTGTCAGTGCTGGGAGCCCCAGTTCACTGGGGACACTGGATCTGAGAGCCAGGGTTTGGTCTTGGCTCTTGCTATGCAGGTGAAAAATCCAGTCAGAGTTTATTTATATTTTATGTAGGGTTATATTTCTATCAAATACCACCTGGATTTTTGCACTGTATTACAGGATGAGTGCTATTATTCTGCTCCTTAGTCTCAAACCTTCCTCTCATGAAGTGATGATTTCATCTACACTGCTCATACTTAAAATACAGAGGAGAGCACATTTGTGGTGACACTTTTCACATCAATGGGAAGCCCTGTAATATTCAGCTGTCTTGCACACCTGCAACAAGGAACTCTGGCAAATCACACTGGCTGCTTGTGATGGAAAACAAAAGAATGACATATCTCCCATTCAGTGGGTTTCAGACTTTTTCTTTTTAGAG